GTCCACCAATACTTAACCCTGATCAACGAACTATAGACCTTGTCCACCAATACTTAACCCTGATCAATGAACCCTAGATCTTGACCAGGGCCAAATACACACTTATTTACAACATTTCAAATTAGAATATGATGCTTCCATAACAGATATATTGTCTTCAACAATTTTAAAATCATGAATTAATATTTTTTATTTTGTAGTAAAACAGAAGAAAATGAGAAACAGAAACAAATACAAGTCAATGTAAATGATATTATAGTAACAACAATAATTCAATTGCCTTGGAAATCATACAAATTCACTGAAATTAAGCATAAAAGTAAAGAATTGAGACAGAGAACAGGCAAACAAAATGGCTACCAGACAACCATCATACTGGTACATGGGATCTTAAGAGCATAACAAATATCAGCTACCCAACTATAGTTTGAATTGGTTCAGCTATCCTGAATGATATTAAGAGGCTTATTTTACATTCAAAATGGCTGCTAGTTGGGTAAATATGATCAAATCAAAACAATACTGAAGTACATATATATTAAATCATGTTCTTTGTTCCAAATAAAAAGAAAGGTCAATGCATGTCCATAATGCTCTAGATTCAAGCACAGATGGAGCCTAAATTAATAGCCCTGTTTGCATATTTAAATGTAAGATACCGGTACGATAATTAAAAACCAATACATACACATATACCAATACTAGAGTACTATAATAATAATGCAAACATTATGAAAGATACAATGACAATTAAGTATTAAGTGATTTTGAGGCAATGTTAGTACATCTAAAATATATATAGATATTTATTATATAAATTGATGGACAGGAAGGCTGATGTATGTGTATGGGCAGGAAGGGTGGATGTATGTGGGCAAAAAGCAATACAAGTGCTAATTTTCTATTAAAATGAAGCTTAGAAATTAAAAGAACTTAGATAAGTTTCATGGTACGATAATACAAAAGCTCATGCAAATAAAAAACAAAATCAAGCAAAATCATTAAATAAATGGCATGAATTATGTACAAGACATTACCAACAGATTCATATAAACAAAGCTTGTATAAAATAACGTAACCAATGTTTAACGAAACACAGTTTATATATACTAGATATGTACTGATACATTCACCTACATATTGTTTACATCTAAATTCAAGCAATTGTTTGTACAATGTCATCTAAACCATAATATGTTATAGTGTGTGTGTGTGTACTTGCATTACTAAAATTGTGAGGACAAAAATACTGATATATATACCAACTTTCAGGGCACACGTTATTATAAAACATACCAGTACCTTTATACTAATAGTTAAATCCACTTATTAATACATTTTGCTTGGCTTAGGGTTAGTAAAAGGGTGAGGTATGGTACAGTTAATATTAATATAACTGTACCATACCTACCCCCTATACTGTCTCCCAGCTTTGCAAACATTTCTATGTTAAGGTAGAAGCCTAGTCATAATTTTTGACAAAATTGGTCATAAATCGCATGACAATGTTCATTAGTTTATTATGTACAATCATGAAGCTAATGTCTCATGGTAAAATGAAATAGCATTATTTTGTGTGTTACAGCTTTTTGAGAAACGCGTCCTAATATTTCTTGAAAATTGCTATTTTTAGAACATTTCCATTGAACACAATGTTAAAAAAAAACTGCATTTTTGACACTTTTTAAAACCCAGATTTTTTAAATAATTCAGAACAACAAAAAGTACTCCATCATTAACAATATATGATTTTTTCAGCCTATGTCACCAGGCTAGATTTTGAGATATTGCATAATATCTCTGCCATAGAAACCTGTGGTAAAAGCGTTACAATAGTGTCAAAATGGCGATTTTCCACTAAAATAAAACCATCAATTTCTCGAACAAGCAGCCTAACGGCTGAGATAGCTCCGCTGTTAGCAATGCACATTTCAATTAAAGAACTGAAGACATCATTAGAAAATGAACAATATGTATAGTATCAAAACAATCGGACTTAGAGTTTTTAACAAGAAGTCGAAAATATCACTTTCTACCAAAAATGACAAAATATTCACCA